TTAAGAAATAAAAAGAAAAATCCTCTCTCTCACACTCAATCCATTGAATCCTCTTGAATTGAGGAGAAATCCCATATGATTATCGCAGAGCAGAGTTCATCCAGTTCACTTAGCAAAGGCCTCATATTTGAATATTGACAGAGGTATGTATTTACATTTGCTTAGTTCTTTTTCATTAAAGTTAATGCAGCAAACAATCCCTTCTTGCTTCAGTGTCTGGTTTTCACAGGCTTCTGGCTAGAGCCTTTTTTTCTCAGGGGTTCAAATAAGCCAAAAATAGAGTGCCATCATAATTCCCCCTCTCTACAGAGTGCTAGCATGAGATGGTCACTAAAAAGAAAATCACCCACTCTACTATGGCCAGTCATCTCCCAATCTCTGGTCTAGTTCCTTACTTAAGGGGAAAAAAATCAAATGGCCCAGTCATTTGTAAATGTTCCTAAAATAGTAAAGGATCCCAAAATTCTGCCTACATCAAACTTTATGCTTCTTAGCAGCATCAAGAGAAAAGTTGAGAGTCAACAAACCTGAATCTTAGTTCCCATCTACAGCTGTAAAAATGTGACTCTCAGGTGTACAGTAATAAGTGTACTCTTGTTAAGTGGTAGAAAAGTCCAAATCTTAGCCTTCAGTTTCTAGATCCTATGCTTGCTTCAACATGTATACCACTCTCCTCTAAGATAAAGGGACTTGAAAGAGAAGAAATATTACTAGCATTGATAGAGAAAAATACTACCAAGTTCCAGATTCTATTTCTGATGACTAGTCACATCCACTGTCCTTGGAGTGTGAGATGATCTCTGCTTCAGGATAATCCACATAGATTGATGCCACCTGCTGTCCTCTGCCCATCTGGACCCTCCCAGCGGCTTGCTTTCCATGCTGCCTCATCAGATACCTTCCCCGTGCCAGGGTGACTATAAAGGCTGGCCATCCCTCAGCACATTTATCTTCAACCCCAGTGCACAAGCAGAGCACACACCAGAGTAACTCATTTATTTCTATTCATTTATTGATGGCCTTTCATAACCAAGTTATTAAGTCATCAATAACTTCAGTGAAACAAATGAATGGATCCAGAACTGGGCCAACAGATGTTTAAGAATATACACTGAAATTTTTAACCAGGATCAGCAGAAAAGTCAATGCTGGGTAATCAGTGGAAATTCTCCCACCTGGGAAAATATATTTCACAAATTTTTTGCTTCTAATTGGAACCCAGTTTATTTCTGTACAAGGTAGTAAAATGAATAACTTCTCCACTTACCCAAGTAAAATAAAGTTTTTTTAAAAAAGATTACATATGGTAGCATTTTCCAAAATACTACTGAATGTCTATTAGCTAACAACAACAACAACAACAACAACAACAATGAAAACCTGGAAGTTTTGTCAGGAATAGAGTATAAGCTTTTGGGGAGTACTTATAATTTATAATATGCTTCTCTCAGGAAATAAAAAGGAGAAGGAAAGGGGGAAATGCAAGGAGGATTTCTAAGGCCTTAAGAAACCTTCAAAATGGAAGTCTAGGAGTCTAGACAAATTTCTAACACTGAAGTTTCTGTGGGGATACTTTCAAAGCAATCAGCAAGCTCAGGGGAAGTACATATTTTCACTGTGTTTGGGGGTAAATGTAGCTGCACCATCTCAGCCTCCATGAGCACGCCAGTATCCTGACCTTATCTCCCTGCTTAGATACACATTTGCCCTAGTTTGGTCCCCACTTAAGCCTGGAGGTCCATCTGGAGGAGAGGAATCTGGGCTCCTGAAGAACTGCCAGTGTTCTTGGTAACCTCTAAATTCTCCAGTTGCCCAGGTTTCTTCATCTGTAAATTAGGAATTTTAATAGTATAACAATTACCAAATTGTTACAAGAATATAAAAAGTTGTTGTAACTTAGATGTCTCTCCAAAGCTTCATGTAGTCATAGGCGGGGCTTTTCAGACGTGGCTGGATCTAGGGTGTGTGCTGCTCGGATTAGGTGTGATGCTGGGATTAGGGGTGTGTGGTTACTAAATTACTCCACTGATCAATTCAGCATAGTTCTGGGTTACATAATGGAAAGCCCCACTCTAGGTGCGGGTGGAACAACCAAAGGGCAGTTAGCCTGGAAGGGATAAAAGGGGACTCAGGCTACTGCTGCTACTTCACTACTTTGCTGCTTTGCTACCTTCTACCCATCATGAACTGTTTTTCCTCTGCAATGTCCTTCTGCCATGCCACCCTACATTGGAGACAGACAAATATGAACTGAAACCTTCAAAAACTGTGAGCCAAATCAAGCTTTTCTTCTTTAATTTTGGGTGTTGGTTATTTTGCCCCAACAATGAGAAAAGCAGCTAAGACAAAAGTCAATATACAAAACACTTAGAATAGTGTCTGGCATATTGTAAGTGTTAAAGAAATGTTAGCTGTTGTTGTCATTAATAAAAACGTAGTATTTTCCATATGATTTTAAGGCTTTACAAACCAGTCAATCCAATCTCTTCAGTTCATTTAATAGATAAGATAACTATAGCCCAGTGAAGTTCCTGTAGAACATTAGTTCTTTTCAAAGTTTAAAAGCGAAGTGAGACACTGCAGGAAAAAACTATCATCTTTGAAGTCCAGCCACCCCACACTCAAATTTCAACTGTGTTGTTCTTTCACTGTATGACTTTGAGCTTGCTTCTTCTCTTCTCTGGGCCTCTGTAGGTCTTCATGTACAAAATAGGTATAAAGCAACCTTCCTTGATGGATTGTGGTGAGAATTGAAAAATAATGACTGAAAAAAATTAATGCCTGGATAATGTGACCGGCATTCTGCCACAGTTAATGAACATTCAATAGCTGGGAACTATCACTTTTGCAAACATCACTCAGCTGGTCTGCTGCAGGGTGGGTGCTAAAATCCTGGTCCCCTGCCAGTAGAGCACACCTCTGCACCACCTACCCTTACTTAAAAACACAAACGAAAGGGAATTTTCTAAACTTCCTTTTTATCCACTTTATTCTATAACTATCTTGTCATCTATAGACATTATTAGCTGTCAACAATCACATATGCCTGCTGATAGATGACATCTACAAGTCCCTATTGATCTTAAAGCAAAGATAAAGGGGCAGGGGGCAGGGGAACAGGAAAGGAGAGTTCTCACTGTAGGCCCAGAGCCAACATGAGCAGTTTTATCTGCCAGCTGAACATGGGGATGAGGGCTCAGAAATGACTTGTGTATGTTGCAAGATGATGAAGAAAAGACTATGTGCAGCAGTAATTTTTTGAAAATTTGACGTTTGAAGGCATAGAAATAGAGAAAGGTGCCAGGAAGAATGGAAATTGAACCAGACATGCTGCTTTCCTTTTTTAGAGGAAATTAATAAATTTTAACTCTAAACAGCAAGGCATGGCACTTCAGCTCTATCTCAAAAGAAAGATCTATGGAACCCTAATATCCTAACATGAAAAAATAATTGGTGCCCCACAGTAAGGATTGGAAATGGATAATGAGTTTTATGATAAAGTAAGTTTGAGAAACTCTTCCCTCTTGAAATTTTTCAATGCTTGTATATAAATTGAGGACTCTGAGAAGTCTCAAAGCTAAGGAACCTGCTAACCCTGCCTGCCACATCCTTTTCTGAATCATTGGCACAGAATTTCCACCAATATCATCTGAAGGAATACCATTTGAAAAACTGTAAAATTTTAAAAATCAGAAGTCTTAACCAATGAGTAAGGCAGTAAGAAGTTTAATTCCTTGTGAGTTTATACTCAAACCATTTTAGACACAGGATAAATGGCTGACTAAATATGAACCCCAGTTTACTTTCTCATTTCATTTGTGGAAGTTGGGAATGCAACATCTGCCTAGTATGCACTTTTCAGAGAGCAGAATACAGCCCTTTGTGTCCAATTATTTATTGTTAACCAGAATGGAACAGAGTGAGAAAGTACAAAAAACTAAGTAAAATAAAATGGAAGCAAACTAGCCTGGACCTATCAAAGGACTGGCTTTGGTGCAGCCCATGGGTTCCTATCATTTTCTGTGCATCATAATGTCCTCAGAATACTCCCTGTATTGCTGGACCACTAATTCCTGGTGTAATCTGGGAATAAACCCTGTGGGCCCAAACAAAGCAAAAGTCCATGTTAACATGCAACTCCTTTTAACAATGGAGATGATCATGATTGGAATTGACAGGAATTCACTTTTCTTAATATGCAAAATGTGACACTGAAATTAAAAAATGCTACTGAACACTCTTCCTCTACTGCAAATTGTTTTATCATTTCTCTGTAACGTTCTCAATAATTTTTCACCTCTTCTTCCTTTTTGTCACATTTTAATCCTCTCTCTACTCTCAGCTAAATACTATGAAACATCGTCGCTTTCTCTTTTGCCTTTAAATCTTCAATTCCGCTTCCTCCCCCTTCCCTTTAGGATCTGTGTGTGTGTGTGTGTGTGTGTGTGTGTGTGTGTGTGTACACACATGTAGGGACAGGGGCATGAATTCAATTATTATAGGCTTCCCATCAGGAATATATATTTGAAAACTCTTCATAATCTAAGCAGAAAGATATCAAAATCAACCTTAGCCCTATCGAAAAGAAAATGAAGGAAAACTAGAATAACAGTAATTGCACTGTTATCATTTCTTTGACCTTTTGATAATCCATAAATAAATGTCATCCAAATTTTACAGAAGTAAACTGCAAAATTCCCGCAACATCATGACAGAAATGCCATTTTTATTGATGTAAAAAAGTGGCATTTTTTTAGCTACTCAGTAAAATTAGGATTATTAAAGAAAGCAAATGTTGAATTACGACAAAAGAATCTCATCCACACAGCAAGATCCATAAGCTAATTTGTTTGGCAACTGTTTCACCATTTAGATGGAAATGCTTATACAGTACTTAGACTTTTTAATATGGTGAAATCTAATTTGATTTGATATGTATTTTTGTATTAAAATGTTTTAAACTATTTATCCAATCCCCTTTTTCCATGGTCTCTCTCCAGGAAGCAAATAGCTTGGATAAAAGCCTGACAAAAGCAGAGAGTGCCCGGCTCTTCAGGATGTGGTATGGCTTTGACCACAAGTATCCTTTGGTAATGACCTGGCAGATCCTCCTGCATGACAGAGAATTACTCTGAGCATTTAACCATTGAGATCCATACTCCTGTTCCTCAGGAAACACAGAAAGGTAAAGTGAATTCACAGCCAAACTTATCAAAGAATGATTTCGTAAAATTAAAATATTGTCTAGTCCATACTTAGGTGTTACAAAGAGCTAATGTAAATCCATGAGTCAATTGTTTTGTGGAATCTGGTATGTTCTAATGCTAACTGCTAAAATCATACAGCCCTAAAGAATTAATCCATTTTACTGTTCTTTGTAGAGATCTTACTTCTGGTCCACTTAGCAAAGCCCTTGGCCAGGAACCTGTATAAAGGTCCTGCACCCTTCCCACAAAAGCCCACTTGTATACCTTTGTTTCATGCTATAAAAAATAAGGGGGCAGAGTAAGGGTAAGAATAAATGGGCTAAGAAAAGTCTGGATCATCATAATACAAAATAGCACTTCTTTTTCAGGTAGGCTCGAGTAAGCTTGTTTCCAGTGAAGAACAGTTTTCGAGTTCTAGCAATCAGGGTAAACATAGTAACTCAGATACACCTTGTCATGTGATTTGAAGAGCTGAGAAGTCAGGCCTGAAGTACTTTGCCATTGTGAGTTGCAGTAAGCGGTCCATCTCTAATCCCAGGCAAAAGCTCCATGAAGAAAAGGAAAGAACTGCACTGTAAATTGAATGTGTTGGGTCTTTGTAGCTAGTTTTCCTCAGTCACAAATCCCTCTCCTTTCAGTGAGAAAATGTCAGTCACTGGATGATTTTAAGCCCCTAAGCATGATTAAAGCCACAACAAATCAGTAGGGGAAAAAGAATTACGATCAGGGTAAAGAAATTCAAAGAATTGGTGAGAAAGAAAAGAGGCCAAAGAAATTCAGGAAATTCACATCAGAAATCAAAAGAAACCAAATTAAAGGAATGATTATGGAAAACAAAAAATTAAGATAGAAGTAAAGAGAAGCCAATTGAAGACTGCAGAGATAGGCAAAAAGTAAAATAATGTGAGAATTAGAAGACAGTTCTGAAACTTAGAATGTTTCAAAAATTGCAAAATGATGCTGTAGTGGATAGAGCGTTTTGGTTTGGGTTCACTCTGCCATCTGTGTGTAGATCTCTTGCCCTGCACAGTGCACTGTGCCACCACCTGAAAAACAGTCCATCCTGGCCACTGGCTGCCTCCTGGAAGTTCTGGTGTCTCTTCCTCTGTCTGAAGCCTTCCTGGGCTCTCAGGGGAGCTAGTTCTTAGCAGGTTATTGCTCATTTATGCTCTTGGTCGATGCTCTTCTACAATCAAAATTTTCCCCATCATTGTTTACAAGTATCTAATAACCACAGTTGTTGGAAGTTATAAGAATTTGACTGAAAAATACCCGAGGACATGTACAGCAAGAAAGTGATAATCAGAAATGTGATAAAAAAAATTTTCCGACTTCTGAAGTTACTGTGAGGAAAGCTTTACAATGAAAAAAGAGTGAGAAAATTCATAGGCAAGAATATAAAAGTTGGAGCCCACCCAAATTTTTAGTTCAGAACAGTGACACTTAATTCAGATGATGTCATAGTTTTTATCTCACTTTTCACCAGGGGTTTATTTCCATACAATTATGAACAGACTAGCAAAAATGAAAGCCAATTTATATTCTCTGTAATGTCTCTCCTCATGGTAATTTGTCCTCCTGTGCATTCATTCTAGAAATTGCAGTGCTATCATTGCACAAATGTATTTTCATTCAGACAACAGAGTTTTTGTGTTGAACTTATACTCTAAATTTGTACCTAGAGAGAGTGGCAAGCCAACCAGATTCAACTCTATGACCTCTTGATATATCTGTATTTTCAGAGACAAATTATCCATTTGGCATTTGTGTTCATTCTATTGTCCACCTAGAGCCCTGCTGATGTGTCCTGTATAGGTTAGGCCATGCCAGCCACTGCCAGGGTAGAGATGAATCCCTGCCCAGAGATCAGCTGGCCTGACCTGGACCTAAACAATAGTTTCATGAATCTAAAAGAAATGGAACTGTTCAAGTTTCATTTCCATAAAAGCATATTATGTAGATGAGGCATAATAAAGAATTGTTAGCAAATATAAATATAAATATAAAGAATTGTTAACAAAAGGAAAAAGAATGTATAAGCATTCAAACACACCTGTATCCGCTAAAGTTCTCCAGAGAAACAGAACCAGACCAGTAGAGGTAATTTACATATGCATATGTATTTACATATAGTTTTATTTCAAGGATGGGATGTGTACAGTTGTAGGGGGCAGCAAGTGCCAAAGGACAGGATCTCCATCTGGAAACTCAGACAGGAGCTGGTTTTGCAACCTTGAGGCTGACTCCCTTCTTCCCCAGGGCAGCCTCAGTTTTGCTCGTAAAGCCATGTAACTGATTGGATAATGCCCATCCACATTATTGAGGATTATCTCTTTTACTGAGAACCAATTAACTACAGTGTTAACCACATCTACAAAATGCTCACAGCATCGAATTCAATTCAACTGATACCCAATATTCAGACCCAAAGATAGAAAGCCCTTCATACTGCACCAGAATTATCAATAAAACCACTGTTGATCATATAGTTTGTTCTATGTTATTTTTTAATAGTGTAAGTAATTCACACATATAGTCCCATAAAGTTTTCCCCAAACTACAGAAAACACTCATAAAAACATTCAATGAGTCTGAACAATGCCCAAGCACTATGTTGAGTGCTTTACATTTAGCATTTCATTTCACCACCCCAGCTCTGTAGGAGATTGGAAAGGTCTAGAAAACACATACAGCAAAATGGATCACTGATTGGGTCAGCCTCTGTCCAACAACCTCAGTCCTCGTTTGAGAGCATTGTTAGAAATCCACAGTGCCAAAATTGATGATTAATTCATTATGATTCTATGTGGGTAGCAATTCTGAATCATACAGTGCAGAACAGAAATGGAGAAGTGGGGAGATGAGAAGAAACAAATGCTCTGTCATCAGGCACACAGTATTCCATGTAATCCTTATATCCACTTTTTCTGTTTTAATTTTTGTAACTATCCTCTTTGTGATGGGAGGAAATAAACTCCCAGATTAATTTAAATACATTTCTTAAGTTTCCATGACTATCCAGGTCCAAGCCCAGATCTATCTCACACCAAAGTGCATAGGTATATTTAATCTTAATGATATGTCCATAATATCATCTTCTATCTGTGAAACCCCACATCTCAACATGTGCAGAAAGTCACCCTTAAAGCAGTGAATAATTATGATTCCTTACATTATGTAGTGCAGAGCTTACATTTCAAACATCTGTTGACAATATATGGACGATAACAATGTTAGAGGACTTTGCTGGTCTCCCACAGTGCAGCATCTTAGAGAAGTCCTCAAGATTCCAAGTCAGATCCTCAACTTCTCAGGGGAAAAAGTTCAATATGCCAAAGACCCCAAAAGAGGTTCCTTCTGTCTCATTAGAGATAGATACATTCTAGTCAAATTCAAAGGAAGCAGATGCATAAACCAAACACCAGATTCCTAAATCACCACATCTCCACTGGAACAAATCTCTTTTCCTAGCCATGAGAAGGCTCTGGTTGCAATCTGGTCCCTAGCGTGCTTGCTTCAGCAGCACATACACAATCTGGTCCCTAGTGTCCCTTCTCTCCTATTCTTGCTCCTGCCACTCTGCTCAGATACCTCCGCCTTCCTCAGACACACCAAGCCTATGTCTGTGTCCAGAGCTTTGCACTGGCTCTATGTCCAACATTCAGCACCTTTGTCTTTCACTTCTTTCATTCCACTTGTCACTGAGACCTTTGTGACTCCATATTTAAATTAGCAGTTCCAACAGGAATGCTAGCTCAGTCCATTCCTGCTGTATCCTTGTACTGTAACACTTACCACCACCTGGCACAGTTATGTACTTTGTTTTGTCTCCTCTAACCAGGTTATATGCTTTCTAGGGACAGAAATTTGGGTCTGTTTCTTGACTAGTGTAGCCTCAGGGAATAGGACAGTGCCTGGCATGCAGTGCAGACTCAATAAATATTTGCTGAAGGAATTAATCAATCAGGCATACAGGCAAACAAGCAATATTTTCTATCCAGAGCACCTTCATTTCAGATATTGATGTAGCAAGAAAAGCCAATTAATTACACAAAGGTTACTAAGTGAATCTAAAAGCAGAGTGGATAATACTAGTGTTTTCATCTGGGCTCCTTGCACAGACACTACACACACAGCTCCACCCTCAGTGTCTTGCTCCCTAGACAGAGACGCCACTCTCAGTTGTTCTCACCGACCTCCTTCCCGTGGTTGGTTCTGCCTACCTTAGGTCCCCTCACCCCTCAAGGGAGAAGGAAATGATCATTTTTCCTCAATCTTTTGAAAACAACCACCAGAATTTTATAAGTTTAACTTAGTAGGAAACTTTTTTTTTTTTTGGTACCGGGGATCAAACTTGGGACCTTGCACTTGCAAGACAGGCACCAGAACCACTGAGCTAAATCCCCGGCCCTTTAGTAGGAAACTTGATAAACAACACTTCTAGGAATCTACAGTTCCAAGGCCAAGTTTCCCATTATTGTAATACATTTATCAATTTAATGCAAGTGAAGTTTTTTAAAAATTAAAAACAATTTAAAGGAAAACATAAGTGACCCAGACATTAGACTTAGTAACTTAAGTTTTGTTAGTACAACTGACCTGGTAAATTCAAGCCTGGCTCTGGTTTAGAAGCCATTCTCTGTATGGGTGACTTTGAATACATCTTATCTCACCAATCATCATGATTTTATTAGCAGCAAACTCCAAATTTACAGCCCCTTATCATCTTCACTACAATCACTACATCTTCACTACAATCTCATATAATGAGGTTAGAAGCAGAAATTGATGCTTCCTTATTCATATTTTAAGACATCAGATAAAATTATTTGCTTAGATTCATGTTACAGCTGGTATGGTGTGGGAATCCTAT